CTAATAAAAAAGAAAAGGAACTCACCCGATAACAGTGCTCTTGTTTCTAAGTTTTTTTTTTTTTTTTTTTTTTTTCTTTTAAAACATTCACCTTAAGTAGTTTAGGCCTACATAATATGCATGTAATAGTCCATTATCCAATATTTGGGTGCCAAAATTTGGATGGCCACGAATCCACAATATTTTCGGCTATGTTCCAACTGACAAACATACATAGTAGTTAATAATAAATAATAGGAAACAAAGAGAGAGAGAAAAGAACTATTATAATGATAAATACAACTAAGATATCATGAAAGTGAACAAGACCTGTAGCGTTTTAAAAAAAAGAAGAAAAAAAGAAGGATGAAGTGCTCTGTTACCAGTATGCAAGAATTTCAAGAAGGATGGAAGAGTGGGTATATCCTTTCTACCTCCTCTCTTGCTTTTTTGGCCTCCTCCCCTATTCTTGATGGTTCTCCCCTCTTCTTTATAATCCGGTGTATCTGCCTATGTGCCTGCAGTGCTGCCACAATTGTATAATACAGTCCTTTAATTTTTTGTGTGCAGAGATGCCACTTTGACTATCCCATCTTGGTGTTGATCTCAAAAGCTCTTTTCTGTCTTCTCATTTTTTCCAGTATCTATTTGCAGCTTCAGCATTGAAGGTTTTTGTCTTACTAACTGGTTACTTTGATCTCTGTACAGAAGATTTGTCGTTGTCCTTCTCTTTTCTGTGCAATATTACTTGTTGCTTTTTTTTTTTTTTTTCTTTTTGAATAATAATAAAATTTTATTAAATGAATCAGAAATAAATAAATATAAAAGGACAAATATTAGTGTTTACAGTATCTATAATATAGGTGAATGACTGAATATTACGAAAATTTGTTATAAATGTTCTTGTCTAGAATTTTTTTCTATTATTCTTTTTGTTCCATTTTTCTGAAAAAAAAAATTCAATTGATACCACGTCTTTCAGAATAATATTTATGTAAAAAAAATTAACATTGCTCTAAGAAAAGTGCATATATTAAACCCCTGACCTATAAAACATCTACACATAAAGGAATATTCCCTAATTATTATGAAACTCTTTTAGTAAAAAAAACTCAAAAATAATGACGCTCCGGTGAGTTGTTCTTTTCATAAAAATTATTATTTTTAATATTATTTTTAATTCATTGATTACGCCACTAATTCGATTTGAGTCAATTAGGAGCACTGGTTAACCTAAACAACCCCTTACTTTAATCCACGTATTTGGTGGTTTAATTTGTTATGCTTGGTTAGAGAATAACGTGATCTGTTCTCGTTAACCATTTCGCAAATTTTATCCTTCAGATATAGCAACACCCTTGCACCATCATATGATTTGATAAAATTTTTTTTTTTAAAGAAAGAGTAAATTTATATAATAATGCTTTGAGGGTGATTAATATTAATGTTAGAACAAATATTACTTTAGTAAATAACTAATTACCTTATGACTGCTAGTTTGGATAAATATATAGCACGTTTTATAATAAGTTTGAATTCATTATTGATAATATTGTTTAGAAAAAAAGAAGAGCAAAATTATATAGATTATTTTTTGGGAGGAGATAAGTTATCTCATGTCATAAAGACAAATTTGTGGGTTCCACCACCTGAAAAAATAAAAAGAAAAGGAAAGAAAAAGGTGGCACAGTTATCGAAGAATGTGTAGGAGGAAAAACTTATTTCATGTAGCATGAGAATAGTTTTTTCCTTATTTTTTTCATAAATAAAATACTTAATATGTCAGTATTAATGAAATAAATTCTTTTATATTATCTATACAACTAAATATTGTTAAAAGTAAATAAAATAAAACTAACTTATATAGTTTCAAAATTTTAGATATAATATTTTCTATTATACTTTTTGAAAATTGTAATATATTTAAATTAATCTATCTATGTTTTGAAAAATCAAATCAAAATATTCTGATAAGCTTTTATAAAGTAAAAAAATAGCTCTGCGTTGTAATATATAAATTGTACATGGGGATGACTATTAGAATATAAGGGGTTTATGTAATTTTTTGTTTGCCTATTACTTTTGATATGAAATGTAACCATTATATTAATGTTGTATTAAAGTGCACTTACTCCCTTTGTTGATGTATAGTCCTATGCAATAACATGACTTATATGAAAGATATGATGATGACTGAATTCATAAGTTAGTGATATTTTCACATATACTTTCGCAAATCGCAGGTGCTGATACTTTTGTCTTCATATTTTTTCTCTCTCTACTTTCTATTCTCTGTTTTCCTCCTTTCATTTTACAACACTCTGATTAATTCTTTTATGTATGCTAAACCAACGTAAGAATTATACCTTAAGATTACTTTTATTACTTATTTTTTACTAACATAAAATTGAAATTATAAAAAATATAAATTTAGCTAATTCATAACGTAGTCAATATTTATTGAAATACCCCTAAGAAAATATACTAATAACATAGAATTATATTGTGAAGTACTTAAAATAGGACCTAAATTAGATTGTTGGAAATTGGTATTTAACTCTCTCTTTTCAAAAAAAAAAATGTTTTTGATATTTAATATTACGCTGGCACATTAAAGGAGTTTCATGGTCAAGATAGTGAGGATATGATTTAATAGATTATTATATCATTCTTTTATCCATTTGGTGAACAAACACGATATGATAAGTTTATCATGTTTGTTCGTTTTATCCACTTGTTTTTCAAAACGCATCTTTGTACTAATCTCCCATGAACTTTGTTGGGGAGGTGACGATCAGCCTTGTCACCCGCCAACCTCCACTACCACCTATTTCCCACCTTTACGGCACCCATGCTACCACCGGTGATCAACTAGCCACAACCATTACTACCAGCCATTACCATAAGCTACTAGTCGTCACTATCATGACTATCATCGGATACTATCACCCTTAACCACCATTGCCAGGGGTGACTGCTGACATCGCCGCCGCCACCATTATTTTTGTCGGCCACCCCTCAATTGCCATCACCGCACAAACCACCACCACCAGTTAGATACCACCTCGACCCACCGCCATTGTCTTCAGTGAGCCACCATGATTGTCACTGGCCACAGCCAGTGCCCCCATCACCCCCTTTCCACAACCACCTTGGGCCATCGCCACTGGTCACTATCACTATACATTAACCGCACTAATATTGATAATAATTTTATAAAACTTAAAAAAAATTATTTGGTGAGAATATAATTTTTGTTTTTTTGAAAATATTTATAAGTTATTTATATATTTTATTTTATATTATGACTTTTATTATAAGAAGTAATATGTAAATAAGTAAAAAAAAAAAAAGCATTGAAAATATTAATTTTAAAATCATATGAAATTATGTTTAAAAATGACATTTTTATCTATTTATATCATATCATGATATTATATGATTCACCTCAGATAACAAATAAGATAACATTGTGTTATCATATTGTTTATCTAGTGCACATCAAAGTGTCAAAAAGAGAATAAGATATAAACTATTATTTTCATATCATTTCCTACTCTTATCTATCTCTTCTATCCTATCTTATCCACCAAATTGATACTAAAAAGATTATTGATCTCAAACCTATTTAACATTTAGTCACTTGTATTTTTAAAAAGTATTCTAGAGTTAAACACATGCAACTAGTTTACCAGCACCATTTTAGTTCAGCTCTTCTTTTCCACTAGAAATGATAAACAATACTCTAATCTGTCTTGCGATTTGAATTAGATTAAGAAGAATAAGGTGGAACTAAAGTCGGGGAAGAAAATCACTTTCGAAAACATTTTTTGTTGTTGTAATTATGTATTTTTAAAATTTAGAATACGTGTGTGATTATATTAAAGTGATATAATATAAAAATTATTGATGATTTATCACTTAGGAGTTTAAGCCGTTGAGTTGACTCGGTTGCTTATCATAGTATTAAAACTTTCGTGATCCCATATCACAAGTTCGATTCTCATTATGCAATATTCACCTCTCAAGTTCAAAGCCATACATGAGGGAGTATAATAGGTGACATATTAAGTTGTTGAGTTAAATTGATTATTTATGATTTTGCTTAATTTCTGTTACGTATAACCTCCACTGCCACCTCTACGGCACCCACATAATTGATTCAGGGAGGGTGAACAGAGGCGTTGTAAAATCAAGAGACCCTGTCAAGTATGAGTGCAAATTAAGATTTTTGACTCGTCTGGTAAAATATTTACTATAAGGATATGTTATTTTATCTATTTTTTTATTCCTATCTTATTTACAATTCTTCAATATCATTAGATTAGAATATTAAGAGGGGAAAAATAATAAAGATTAATTGAAATTCTAATTTAAAAATAATACATAAGGTACACATAAAAAAAAAAAATCGAATAATCTATCCATTATAATAACACGTCGATAACTAACCATTAATATATCTTTTTAATGATAAAAATTGGTGCACTTAATCATTAAAATGAATCTCTTGTCAAGAGCCTAATCCAAATAAATCGTTGAGGATCCGTTCATCTTGTCTACTAACTTGTATGATTGAATTCTGACCGTTATATGAATAATTAAAGTTAAAATTAAGAGATTACCAAAAAAAAAAAAAAAGTTAAAATTAAGAGATTATTTTTTTTCATGTTGTAGAAAATAAAATTATCTCCTACATATACATAAAAGTGTGTGGAACCCATATTATTATTTTATTTCTCTTATTTTCTTTTTTTTTTCAAAGTAATCATCTTACATATTTTTATGTGTATGTAAGAATTAAAATTATATCTTATAACATAAAAAATATTAATCCCTAAAAATATTCATACCATCATCTAACAATATATTATTATAGTACTTAAAAGATTTAATATTTCATATATTATTAAATTTATTATATAATATGATAATATATCGTTACATAACAGCATAAAATAATTTTAGTATTATATTATACATAAACTAAATTCAACTAGGATGTCTTCGTGAATTCCCACTCACTCGAGCTTCCTACGGCTCATTCCAATGGAGAAGCGCCAAGCATCAAGTAATGGGTCAGGGATTAAGCGTGCGAAGCCCCACTGAATTGAGTGAGCCCAATAAGGTGTGCACTTTGGTTCATACCCAATTACACGTATTGCGGCTCTAGCATAACCCTCTGCTGTTGGTACGAATAAAGAGTCTCTCTTAATAGCGGCTACCTTTGACACCATATTCGTTGCAACGTACAATGGTACCTTAATCATCATCAATATTAATTATGTTGCATGAATCAATTAAAATAAAAAATTAAATTAATTAATTTTTAAATGAAAAAAGATAAATATATCTCAAACTGTTTAAGAAATATTTATATATATATATATATATATGAAAAATATTTTCTTCATTTAAAAAAAATATATTTCTCCTATTAGTGACTCATTGATTGATTTGTTTAAATTAAATTAATATAAAATATATAAATATAAATAATAACATGACCTTTTTTATTATTGCCTTTGGGGTTTAAAGTTTTAATACCATGATTTACTTCGAATCTGATTAGTCACGAAATAAAAAATAATAACACCGGTTGAACCGATTAAGAATCTGATTTTTATTTAATTCGTCCAATAATTTGATTCTCGATTTAATTGGTCCGACCAGTTGGGTAGGCCGATTTTAATAACAGTGGTTCAAATTCTTTACCATTTAAATTTTAATTAAGGGTTTATTTTTTTTAAATTACTTTAGTTAATTTTATCTAATGTTTACCAAAATGATGTCATTTTAAAGCGAAAATCATGATATATTTGTAATTTTAATTTTTTTTAGAGTTATCATAGTCTTTATCATTCTAATTTTTTAATTTTTCAATCTTAAAACGACGTCGTTTTGATAAACATTAGATAAAATTGTCTAAAATAACATTAGATACTTTTTTCTCTTTAATTAAATTTGAAACTGAACAAAATAAATTAATATAATAATCGTACAAACAAAACACTGTATCTACCTGACATTGCACGTGGATCCCATATTGTTTATACTCAACGTACAGAGAACTTGATAACTGATCCACGTAACTGCATGTTTCCCTCGTTAAGTCAAAGGAAGAAAAAAAAATAGTAAGAATAATGAATTTAGTTGAACATAGTTATGATTTATATATTTTTAATAAATAAAGATAAATATTCTCTTTAAAAACTTTAGAAAAAAAATCAGAATTCGACATATAAATAATAACAAATTAGGAAGAAATCATTTAAGAAGCCTAAGTCAAGTGATGTTAAATCTTTTTAGAACGACTCTAATTTAATCAAATTAATTTAGCGGAAAAACCAAAGTGTTACTTTTTCGCAAATTTTTTATCCAAATAGAACGTGAATCAGTACTTTTTATATACTGCATGCAACGAAGTTTGCTATATCAAATTTTGTTCGCCAATAATTTTGTGACACGTGTCATACTTTCACATAAAAAAGATAATTGAACTAAGTTCGTTATCCGTGGTAACGAATTTTGTATGCAGTATGGCCACGTGTTACAAAATTATAGGTGACGAAGTTCGCAACTAAGACGCGTGTCACTCTAATAAAATATACCGTTTACATGATATTTGGATAAAAAATTTATCAAAAAATAGCACTTTAATAGATGTTCCTAATTTAGTCCCTTAAAAATATAAATGATATTAATCTAATTATTTGAATTGACATTACTTAATTATTTAATCATAAAAGTGATATTGTATAGCTCAGGATTAATTATTGAGCATGAAGAAGGGGATAAAAAAGATAGAAAGCTTACGCTTTTGTAGCAGCGTAGATTGTATAGAGAGGATGCGAAGGAACAACCACCGCAGCACCCGAACCAATATTAACGATTGCACCTTTTTTCCTTTGAATCATCCCAGGTAAAACAGCTTTTGTTACTCTTGTCGTACCTTCAATGTTCACTCTAACAATCTTCGTCCACACCTTCTCCTCCACCTCATCAAAGAACATCGCCCTAGGGTACGTGATCCCCACGTTGTTGATCAAAATCCCAAGATCCAAATATTTGGTCGCCTCTGCTATTCGCCGGAGACCCACCGACAAGTCGCCGGAAAAGTCCATCTTGATGATCTCGGTGCGTATACCAGGGTGTTTTGCATGGATTTCACCGGCAACTTTTTGAAGCTTTTCGGAGCTTCTGCTCACAAGAACAAGGTTGAGCCCTCTCTGAGCTAATTGAAAAGCCAAGGCTTTTCCGATGCCGTCGGTGGCTCCGGTGACCAGAGCCCATGAACCATAGCTTCTGATAAGGTCTTTCTCAGATCTGAAACACGTGTTGAAGATCCATGTGACAAGTGAAACGAGGTATTTGAGTGTAATGATTAAACCGAGGCACAAGATGATAACAACTGAAAGGTACAGGTACTGGCCACTCCCGTAGCATGCTACCCGTAACATCTTTCTTTTCAAAATTATGAAGTGTCTTTGTATTTTGGGATTGTAGCTTGCGACAGTGAGGAATGGGCTATAAATATTGTCACAGACTCACAGATGCTATGCCACACTCACATGCATATTACAGGAGGTTGAGAATTTTAACAGATATTAATGAATATGAGTCGAATGAAAATTCGAATGCCTAACATACCATAAATAGATAATTCGTACACCTAATTTTTATAGCAAATTTATTAATTGATAAAGTATTAAATAAACTTATGATTCAAGTTTTTTTTAAAAAAATAATACCAAAGATTTTATGCATTAAGGATATTAATAATCAATTTATTAAACCTAGAATTTCACGTGTTGATGAAAATTCATTTAAAATTTTCTTTTGATATGATTTTCATAAAATATTAAAACATGTATAAAAGTGCTGAGATATATAGTCCCACATTGATTGGATGGGCAACTAATATGGCCTTTATAAGGCCTTGGGCACTCACACCCCTTGAGCTAGCTTTTGGGGTGGTGTATCCCAAGGTTCTTTACAAAAAAAGTATAGCATAAAATCATATATATTTGAAGGAACTGTGTCAGGTAAAAGGAAAAGATAGATCTGAAAAAAAAAAGTTTGTAGTTTATAAACAGTAAAGATATTATATTATTTAAATCATTAAATGGATAATAAAAAGTTTAAATGAAGTTGTGAATAATAATAAACCATTTGATTAGAAAAAGAAAAAAAATTACATTTTAGAGAAACTAAATCAAAGTTAGTTTAGGCGAGAGTGACAATATTATATGCCCTTCTGGTATGTTCTTGGCTTCTGCCCCAATTTTAAAAAAATGTTAATGATGTAATTTGTGCATAAAAATATAGAGAAAATCACTTCTCCTTTGAAAGAAGAATAGACTTCTTCTGCCGCTGAGTGCTTATAAATTGTGCCTTGTTTTTATTTTTTTTTCTATTTTAAAAAAGTGTGGATCTCACTTTTGGTTGTCTCTGCTGCAAAGTCATGAGTTCTACCGTGAAAGAAAGAGATGTAAAGCCCAAAAATATATATCACCTTTATAAATAATAAAAATATATATATGTTAACTGTAGGTGGGTTAAGTTATTCAGATGTCGGCCGGGTGGCTCGTATTTGTCATACCGGTTAATTTAGTGCATTCAATTTTATTTTATTTTTTGAAAATTTTCATTCTCAATTAATGTGGATATATCACTGCCACTCACACTTTGATGGAGCCATTCAAATTCAGACCAAGGAAGCTGGTTGTTGGGGACTCCTTAGGAATGATAAAGGCAATTGGTTGGGGCTATTCATACTTGCTAGAGACACTCATATTACCGGTCCTATTAGAGAGGGGTTGCAAAGAGTTTGGGGCATCAGACTTGCGTTCATCGTTAGAAAGTGCAATTTTTTTTTTTTGTTCAAGATATCTTCCAACAGATAGTCGAAAATTAATTTCTTTTTTGAGGTGAAAAACCATATGAAGTGAATAAATTTCTCTTAATAAATTTTTTTTCATACATTCAGTCAGGGATCAAACTTCTATTAGTATGCTCAAAGGACTCAATTATCTACTAATTATATCGAACTTTGTTGGTTTGAGAGTGCAATTTATGTGCTGATTGGTTGGCTAAGATTACCTTTAAAATCAAAGCTGGTCTGCAATCCCTCTTGCACTAACACAAGGAGATGGAGGTTCTGCTGGCTTCGGATTTTAGTGGCTCTGTTAGTTTCATAGTTTATTAGTGTAGTTTTTTTCTTGTTCTGGACCTATGCCCCCTACTCACAAAAAAAAATGTAAGTACTTGTTAATTTTTAAATGTAATTACTCTCTGTATTTGTATTTAGAGATTATGTATTTAAGGTTAATTGATCAATATGTCTCTGTTTTAATATTTTTTTTTTATCATTTTACCCTTTTCACAAATTATATATATATATCAATCTATTCTTGTTTGACTCAGATTTAATTGACATTTACTCAAATAAATAAAAAATTTATTCAGTAAATCAAACAAGTGAGTAAAATAAATTTGGATCCACAATTTTTTTTATTCAAATCAAATTCTAATTTTTGATATATGTACAAATGAATTTGGGATGTGTGTTTGTTCTCATCCCATTTCAAGGTCCCAAACAGTCTTGATGTTTTTCACCAATTTTCAAAGTCCTTCTTGACTCAACCCTTTCGGTACATTCTAATGTTCATATGTAATTTGGCTTGTTTGGATTATCTCTTTTTTAAATTAGAAGCTATTTTTAAGTTAAAGTTAAAAGCTATTTGGTGATACATACACATTTTAGGTTAAAAATATATATTTCAAGAAAATTCTCTCTCTATATTTTTATAGGGGTAGGATCATTTGACATTGGTGTCAAATTTAAAGTTTGACACCTCATCTGAGAGTTGTTAGATAAAAAAAAGATCAACGGTGTCACATACAAATAAGAATCGTTAACCTTTTTTGATCTAATGGCTCTCAGGTGAGGCGTCAAACTTTAAATTTGACATTGATGTCAAAGAATCTTGCCCCTTTTATTGCTCTTCATTTTAAAAAAAACACACAATTCAAGAAAATTTGATAAGAGCTAAAAAAACTCTTTCTAAGAGTTTTTGACTTTTAAGTTTTTTCTTCGTTACAAAAAAAAAGAGTTTTTCATTATAAGAGTTTTTCTGAAAATCTGTTTAGTCCAACTTCTGCTTATAAATAGCTTCTAGATTAAAAAAGAGAGGATGCAAACAAATATTATGTCTCTTTATGTGTCTAAAACGTCTCAACACGCTTTTCATTCAATTTCAACATATCAACCCACCATTTTTAGTTCCTTACTCAAGTTCTTTTTACAAATAACACTAATTGGTATTGATATTGGGGTTTGTGGGTCCAAAGCAATTGAAAATAGTCCCCCACCAATAAGGGTGTAAACGAGCCACACAACCTAACAGGAGCTCACGACTCAGCCTACATTAGGCTAGGCTCGATTTATTACATGTAGTCAAATATGACAGATTCAGACTTTTTAAAAAATCTATTTAGAAAAGCAGACTATAGGCTTCCTTTTTCTTGCGGACCTATAAGTCTATAAGTTAGCCTATATAATATTATTTAGTTTAAATAAAATAAATATTTTAATGATTTTAAATATTAAAGTAATATTATTTTAATTATTTTTTTATTATTGAATGCTTAATATGCTTAAACAAACTAACAAGTCTAGATCAATATTTTTATTTTTTAAATATAAATCATACCAAACTTATAATTTGGGTCTTCACAAGACTAACAGACTAGGTTAGGCCTAAAATATTTTATACAGACCTGATCTATTTAAACATAAACCTAGTCTAGTCCAACTCATTTACACCTCTACGGGTCACCAATATCAACATCTTATTTCAAGTTCTTCTAACAAATAGCAAATTAATGAGGTTACTTATTTGAGTAAGTGATTTGTTTAAGTAGAGAAGTCTTTTACTCGAGTAAATGTCGTTGATCAAATAAAGATAAAAATATATAACTTGAAAAGAGAAATATATTTATAATAATTTGAGAAGGAGAATAAAGTGATAATTTTATTTTAAAATTGGGAGAAAATAACCAGTCATGCTCTATAGAACTATCAAGTGTCCAGAATCCAGAACCAGGTCAATTCATTCAGTTATTCTTTTTTTCTCTCATAGTCAATTTTGTGCGTCTCTGTTCTGTTTTTTAAATTTAACATGGTATCATGAGCTGCAAATCCACTTCTAGCGCTCACAATAAATTGTTATTAATAGCTTCGATCACAAAATTCCGGTGAAGCTCGTGACACGAACTTTTCCCTTTTGCCGCAAAACGTCACAGACAGCAAAGCATTCGTGGCCACATTCTTAAAGTTGGATTTGTAATGCTTGTCATTTAAATAACACTAATTTTGTAATAAAAGCTATCACCGTTATAAAGATATATGTATTTTTTAGCAAACAAAATTAATTTATAATAGTAAAAAAGTAGGTTTTGTAAAGTGTATATTCTTATGTTCTTAAAAATATAATAAACTCATTTTCAAACAAAAAATATATATAATAAAACTATCTTTTCCATGAAAATTGTTTTCGGGTTTATATTTTTCTAAAAAATTAATTTATTAATGGTGTTTTCGTTGCAGATTTTGAAAAATGCAAATTGATGTTTCCAACAAACAAAAAAAATGCAAATTGAACACTCACACTTTCCACTGCAATTTATTCTTTCTTTTTTTCAAGCGCCGTTTGCATTGATGAGGAATCCGAAACAACCAAGCCTTACACAGGCAGACATTACATAAAGTTATATAGTTAGCAGATATATGTTTCGAGTGGTTAGGGGTGTAAATACACTAATTTAGGTTAGGGTTTGATTTAAATAGTTTAGATTTATTTAAAATATTTTAGGCCTAATCTGATCTCTTAGCGTTGTGTAAGCATATATTATAAGTCTGACATGATCTTTATTAGAATTTAAAAGTCTTGACCTACAGACCTAAGCCTGTTTGCATGCTTAAGTCTACTAAACATTCAACAGTTAAAAAATAACTAAAATAATATTATTGCATTATTCAAAATCATTGAAATAATAATTTTATTTATTTTCTTTGAAATAAATAACATTATATAGAACGGCCTGTAACTTTATAGGCCCCACATATAAAAGAAACATATGACCTATTTTTTAAACAGGTTATTTTTTAAAAAATCTGAACATGTATATTTAACTATATGTAATAATTCAAATCTAATCTAAATGGTAGGCTCATGAAAACCTACGAGTGGTGCTTTGTTGATAAATTATGTGTGAATATTAGTTTTTGTCAAATTTAAGACGGAACAGTATCTCTCGTCTCTCTTAAACTTTTTTGTTGAAAACTAGAAAGAATCTCCTTAACTTTTTTCTTGAAAAGAGAGAGAAATATGTTTAATTTGATTAATGAGAGGGAAAATTAATGGAATTGAATGAATAAATCAACAGCGAGAAAATG